CGGGGGCGCCGGGGCCCGGGGCCGGACAGGGTCCGCCAGCAGGGGTGGGCCTGCCAGCTGGGCACACCGCGGCCTTGGCGTGGGTGAGTCGGTGGGGAGGACGAATCCTGCGGCTTTCGTAGGTGTCTGCCACGGTCTCGCCGGGCCGCCCGGTTCTTAGCTCCTTTCTGAATGCACCGAGCCGAGGACCACCGCGAATCCGTGAAATACTAAGTTAAGGAACAAAGAACCGAAAATGCAGCTGAAATCCTCGGGGTGAAATCCCCAGCATCCTCTCGCCGCCCACCTCTGCCCCTCCGTAATTCACAGTGTTTTGACAACTGCTCGTTTTCTGCAGTTGCCTGATCGCGCAGTCTAGGGCATGCTTGTATAACTCAGTTATTCCAAGAAACCAAAGCGTCTTCCTTTCCTAGGAAAGGGTTCCAGGAATAGACATCGGTGCCCTCGACAACATTTTAAGACTGGTACCCTCCTAGCCCCTCTCTCCAAAGCCTGACTTTTTCCAAAGCGCTCCTAACTGCTTTGCTGACTTCGGAAGGAAAAGCCTCAATCAGTCCCTTCCCTGACACACTCGTGAAGAAATTTGGCATGACTTACAGAGAATGCTTTCACCTTGAGGCAGCTGTTGAGTCCCAGTAACCCTGGTGTAGAGGAGGTGGTGATGTTTCTTCCTGCTCTGCTGTCACTCTCATTTCTACTCAGCCCCTACCCACTTCCCTACCCCTTCACGCGTTTTCTTGCTACATTTCTGACAGTTGTGACTTTCACTGAGAAGTAAGTACAAACTATCAGTCCTTGTTCCAGCGCCTAAGGTTCTGGATACAAATAACAAAATAAAACAAACAGAAGTAACACAGGTACATGATCCAATATGTTTGTTTGTTTTTGCTATTTTTTAAGAATTGGGGAGGACCAAGAACTAGGGAGAAGTAATAGTGTAAAGAAAACTTCAATCTGCGAATGTAACAGGAAAGTTGGACGCAGAGAAATCATGCCCTCCTCCACCACTAAATGCACAGTGGAGAGTAAAATCAGTATGTACGAAAAGTAGGTGGTTGGAGCAAATCGTGATGTATAACAGAAACAAGAAAACTAGTTTTTTATATGAAAATAATATCAAGATTAAAATAAAATGGACTTTTGGGGAAATGTTACTACATTGCAAAGTTGATCATGTAATTAACTTGGCCTAATGACAATTCCAGAAATATTTTCTTAATAAAAATCTGTTGATGTCTGCATACACTTGATTAAAATATTGGTTTAACGTATATTGGGGTCAGAGTAGTAGGGTAATAATGATTCACCATCAAAATGAGCAGAAATTAACCAGGGAAATGAAGGTATTTCATATATTCGGTTGTTAGAGCTAGTTTTAGGGATTAAAGATAGTAGGATTCTAGAAGGAACAAAAAGAATTGGAAACAGCTTTTTCTTTCTTTTTTTCCCTTAAACATTAGAAGGAGAACAGAGATGTAATTTTTGGCCAGAAAAATACATTTTAGCAAAAATATCTTTGACTTCAGTTTAAACTCAATGCTCTGGTACCTTGGTTTGCTTAAATCTCCCTTTTGTTCCATAACCTGGGAAATCAATAAAGTCATATGTTGAGAAAGTTTATTTTGCCTCGGTAGTGTGAACTCTGAAATATTTTTAAAATATAAATTAATTACAAGGTCATGTTTTGCTAATTGTTTGAGTCTTTTAAGAAGTGTTCACATTGTGTCAGTACTCAAAATCAGAGATAGAGTCATCTTCAAAATATCAAATTGAAGTTATGTGTTTTAAAACAAAAAAGCAGGAAAACAGAAACCCGTGTCAGGAAGTATAGTCTGTGTGTGAAGTAACAGTGAGTTGGTTAAATTGTCTATATGGTGAGGTCATATGTGTGCAATGACTAGCGTTTTTCATCTTACTCTTGTTTATGTACCTCTAGAACACCTTCCCCCGCCAAGTCGAGGTGTCTTTTGCTTGTTTGGAAGAGAAACGAGGAGGGTAGGTGGTAAATGTTGTGTTTCATGACAGAGCAAGTTTTTTACTTTGTCGCTACTGTTTTTTGTTGGTGCTGCTTGCCAAAATTCTATGCTTCAGCCCTGCACCAAAATTTTGGCCTCTGTCCATGATTGAGTAAACTGCTGTAGGCACAGCTCTCCAGGCTTATTATTTGGTATGATATTAATTTGGGGGTGGGCAATGAACCAGATTGCTTGATTTCTGGTAATTCAAGTGGACGATGACAATTTGTTGACTTTTGGGTGAGTTTTTTTTTTTTTTAAATGGGAGTATTGGTGTGTTGTCTGGATAGCTGAGTGTAGTTTGTTTACTGCAGCTGTTTAATGCCAAGTTCTTTTTTTTTTTTTTTTTTTTTTTTTTGACGGGTTTTTG